TGAGAACATAAGTTCTAAGCATTTGACCACTATTCCTCCATGCATACAGCCTCATGATGTAAAGTACAGCTGTTCTACTCCAGGTCACACGCTGAGTCATCAGCAGAACTAATCATCGAACCTGGACAGCCTGGCTTCAAATCGCATCCTTTCTAACCGCTCCATACTCTCTGCCTTACCTTGTCCGAAAGCCCAGCCTCTCCAATCCAGCCAAAACAGCAGTGCTCCATTCTTGTTAAATGACTTTCATGATTAATAAGCCTGTGACGTGAATAACTGCAAGATCAGTTTCTATAAGACACAGAAAATTAATTAAATCAATATTTTTGGAGAAACAACAAGTAACGCCCCCTCCCGTAGGTGTCCTGTGTAGCCTTGTGTGTCCCTTCGGGAATTACTACCGCTGCCACCTGTTACTATCTTAAAAGCATTTGCCTGGACAGACACATTGCAGGGATTACCTGATTTAATCACCATAGGGACCGTATGAGGGCTGATAATACCATTTCCACATGGGGAGACTAGGGCTCAAGGAGGTTAAATAGTTTATTCAACCCCAACCCCACAGTGTTAGAAAGTGATAAGGCAGAGATTTGCACCCAGGCCGTTTGTCTACAGCGCCCACACTGTCACCAGCGCCTCTCACCATCGTGTGTTGTCTCCATTGGCAACCTAGTCAGCATGACTTGAACAGGGGAAAAACAGGCCTATAGTCTCCATGAATATAACACGTTTAAGAACTCTTCTAAAAGCGTCTTTAACACTTGGGGACAGAATAGATTCTTGAATTTCCTTCCCTTTTCACTTCTCTAACTCATCTTACCTTGAAGATAGGCAAAGGATACAACACGATGCTCAAAATACAAAATGAAAACAGTAGAACATTGTTGACTTCATTTCAGATTTAATATATAAGCCCTCTACCTGCTTTTATTTTTCTCAATTTAAATTGGTGGACAGATCTAAAAAACATAATATTAGCATAAGTTACTGAGAAATCTCTCTGGGGGCCTATAATAGGTTTGTTGGGCTGGGAGAAATGAATGGATGCTCTTATCTTAAAGACTCAGTGCTTTTTATTTAATATTACCAGATTAGTGTCTTCATCTGGTGGATCATTACCAAGATGGTTTTGTGCTTGTGGCTAGAAATAATTAATAATAATAATAATAAT